GTTATTTTAGGCAGAATAAGCATCAGAAGAAGCTGATGTGATTATTATTTAACCTCCAATAAATCCATTTAAATAATACATAGGAATAAATGATTGAGGAAAAGATGCCAGGTAATCTTGCTTAAAAAAGCAAAAGGAGCACATACTTGCCCATTGAGTCTGCAACCATTTTTCCAGCATCTTCTTCATTCTGATCCCTTTCAAGAAAAAGGTTAAAGCCAAGGTTACTAATAACATGATAAAACACTTAACTCAGTCTGTTTTCTGAGTAAAGCACATTTGCTGATGAATATCTTTAGCTGCTGCAAGTCACAGTATTACAATTAAACATGAATCTCTAGCCCAACAATTCAGTCAAATTTTGTAGTTTACAGTCATATGCAAAAGTCTGAACAGCCTCAATTAAATTGTGAAAATACATCAATACATCCTCTACAGGGAACAAACTTAAATATAGCATTTTCAGCAGAAAGTCCCACTTAAACTTTACTACTAAACCTTCTCCTCAAATAAGCCCTTGTAGCAGAAGTGTTTGTGTCTTTTGAGAATCCCCAAAATAGTAAGTTTAAAGGAGAATACCAAAAAAATTTTTATCTTTTAATCATGTAAAGAGGTTTTATTCAAAGTAATTTTAGAGCATTTCTACATGTCCATTCATCATGAAATATTCACACAGTGTAAAGGACAGCTGCCGTGTTCAAATGATGCAGAAAAATAACAACTGTAAATACAAAAATGTAAATACTTGTTTTTGTGGACAGCAACGATTTTAAATTTTTATATGGATATTGATAAGACTGCACAAAATAATTGTATCGCTTTTCCTCAACATTGCTGATTTTCCCTGAGGTGTTTAGTAAAGAGTTTTGAAAGAACTTAATAGTCACTTGTTGACCCTGGCCAAATTACGTTTTGTTGATTTGCTAAATGAAAATAAATCAACACACTGAATTTAACATACTTGAAAAAAACTATAAAATTCAGCCTGTGCAAAAGTCATTTTTTATTATATTTTCTTTCCCATACGTTAAATTCAGCAACTAAATAAAAATTGCGCACTACAATTTGCATTAAAAATGCCATATTTAAGGCTGTTCCCTGTAGAGGATGTGTTAACTTATTTTCATTTAGAAAATCTGCACAACATGTAGTTTGACCAGGGGCCCCAAATCTTTTGCATACACCTCTATAAGGGCCCTGGCCCATGCTGAATCTGTTATATTTTTACATTTTTTTTTAATTATTTTTAATATTATTTACATACTTCTAAATCTAGGCAATATTATACGGAATTCAAGGCCACAGGAAACCAGACTATTGCATTAGATCCCCCTCAATAATTTACTTTTTGGCTAATTAAGTCAGGGGAAACAAGAACACGATCAATAGTAAATGCAGTGCATTTACAAGCTTCTCTAATGCTACGGACTATGCAGACAACTAACAGTAATGGCTTTAGAAGAGAAACACAACCTGCTTTAAGTCAAACAATGTTATTATGTTTGAGACAGATCGATTCCTACTACATGCAGTATTGATGCTCCCATACTGCAGTGACTTCACATTCCTCATATACCTCATATTACTTTGGTTTACCTTACTTGGGCATTTAAACAATTTCATCACAAGGAACAGTGGAAAGTTCTTGTTTACATCATTCCTTAGCATTTTACTTTTAGGTTATGAAACTGTGAGAATTTGTAAGGGAATAATTCCACTACCTACTGAACCTTTTTACTGCAACAGGTAAGTCACTTTTGAGCACAGTTTGTAGTGAAAACTTACTGTAAATGCATGGCTCTCAGTGGGCAAGGGAAGGGTATTATGCAGACACTATCTGTGAACTCATGTTGGGATACTGACCTCTCACTGTCACTTTTCTCCACCAGACCTTGTAACACTGCATCAAGTCGATTTCGGGCACCAGCACCTTCAGTATCTACAAAAGAAAATCACTTACATCAGACTTGTTAAACTTGAGGACATTCTTGTACAACTATTATGACAGTTGGGTAATAATACTGGCCAATATTTTTGTCCCACAAATTTACTGGGAATGGCCATTGCACCGCTAGTAAACCAACAATATATAGTAGCTTGCTTTATAATGTAAAGAATTTATGATGTGGAAAAAAATACTGAATTTTGAGGATTTATTGGTGTCAAATTCATATCTTTAAAAGAGACTGCCAAACAGCTAATCATTATGGTGCTAGTCTGAACATAAAACCATGATTAAAACAGCAAAACATGTCAAATTTGAAGTTAATCTTTAGCATTAGAATAGCATAACACAAAAAAGAGAACTGATAGGAAAAATCAGCAGAAAATGAAACCACAAAGAATACTGTTGTTTTCCGTCTCACCAGTACAGTATTTATACTTAAGATGTTCTACATTTCTGTTGTCTATCTGAGTTGTGTAATATAATAATATTAAGAATCATCAATCATTTATGACAACTGACTGTTGACAACTGACAACTGTACTTTAAGTTTTCCATTATTATAGTACATGGATAACATCACTGACCCACACACAAGAGAGCAGGGTTCAATTCCCCATTCAGGCAAGAACACCACCTATATACCTACCTAAGTCTACATTTGACTACCTGAAAGATTATCAATCTAGTCTAGATTATTAGACTGTAAAGGTGTTTTTCTACTGCACAAACCAGAGATTTAGGCACCAGAAAACTGGAACTGTGCTTTTTCCACTGGACATTGGTTCAGTACCAAAGGTTCCATTTTCATGTTTTTTGGTACTTACCAAGGCACTTCCCCCAAACAGGTGGAAAATAAACTAGTGTAAGTTCTGTGGTTCTCGTTCGGCTCAGCTCTGGTTTTTGACTGTGCATTGAAAAAACATACCAGGTCTCTTTGAATAAGATCTTGCAAATGCTGTATATTACATTAAGTTTCATTTGTATTAAGAGTATTTCTAAGTGTTTCTGAAATCCCGGTTTCTGCACAACACTTTTTTTTAAACTCAGATTTTTACACTGATTCAAACAACGCCCTAGCTAGCACTGTTTAACTAAAATGCTTGGAGTTATATTCACCGATGTTATCAGTTGATGTTACACTCAACTGATAACACAAACAGGAAACATGCACTACACAGAAATACAGACTATTCCTCACCTGGTTTCTCAGTTTTAATTTTCATGTGCAGCATTTTAATTGTAGATCTGTCCTCACCCAGTAAATAATTTCATCGGCAGATCCATCGGTCAGCACTAAAATAATAGAAATAAATAAGAATAAAAGCATACATAGAAACATTTACAAGTGTCTACTGTTTGGCTGTACAGTGCTTTACTGATTTTTACTGATTTTTTTTTTTATTATGTAGGTATACCACTGATAATGTTTATTTAACATGCAAATCTGTAGTAAATGAGGGATGCATTATCTGTTGAAAGTAAGCTAATAATACTCACACAAAAAACTAATGTCAAGTATGTCTAATCAGAGACAAGGGAAGGAACATGCCTATTGGATAAGACTCAATTTTGTCATTTTTACATAAACATTCTGCTTTATGAATTATTCTCACAAAACATTCTGAACTTAAAGTGGAACTTTAGTTCCACTTTAGTTTTTTTTTTTAACATCTGCTTAATTCAGTGGCTGACATGTAAACAAAGTCATTTAGAGTGGTTTGATGTGAAATGGTTCATTGTAGAGAAACTTACTGAGTCTAGTTTCCTTACAGTGGTGGTGATGGGAACCAGGGGACCTGAAGTATATAGCCATTTAAATTACCATCCAAAACCACCAGTGAACCTCAACATATCTTCTAAGTTAACATGTACTGTTAAAAAAAAAAAGAGAGTTTTCCTTGGGGGCTACTTAGCCTTAGAACACTCTTCAGGTATTCCTCCACCATGAATAGATTAAAATAAATGTATTAAAATACGTTTTAAGCCAAAATCCTTTCGCAAAACTACTGTAAACAATGTCTCAACCGTCAGACAGTGTATTCATAAGCATTTCATGTAATAACTTTCTGTAAGGTAGCTTTTAGAGGTGGACGTCTGGTTCTTATCACCACCACTATGAACAATTCTGACTCGATAGATGGTTTCTCTAGAACGAAGAAGCTCACACCAAACCACTCTGAACGATTCTGGTAACATCTTAACCGATTAAGTTAACATCTAACCCGAGAAATTGTGAAACATTGATGGAGTTATCCTTTAAAAACAAGACACACTTTAATTAGGATGACATCACATGTTATTTACCGGGCTAGCAAAACAGCCAGCTAACAAGCTAGCCTGACCTGTCTAAAACATTTCATATTTGGCTCTTTGGTGTAAATTTCCGAAAACACATACTGATACAGGTATAGAAAGAAACGATGGCAGAAATAAAACATGTCGAGCATACCCATAAACAACGAGTAAGTTCATGAGAAAGAGCTTAAGTGTAAGCTAGATAGCTTAGCTAACTACAACACAAGTGGCTACATTGTCCAGCTAACAGATAACGTTAGCTAGACGAAGCTGAAGTCAGCTTGTTACTCGAAGTCTCCCGTTTCACCTTAAATGTTGCAGCAGTTACCATTCTGGCGCCTCGTAACTGCTGCAGCATTTAAGGTGGAACGGGAAAATTCGAACAAGCAGCTGACTATGAAGCCGACTTCGGCTTCTCGTTCAAACAACTTTAAAACAACTCAGTCATCAAAACCACAACAGTGTCGCATTATAACCTAATAATAAGTAGAATTATGTCAATTAGCTACATAATTAGCTACACAGTCAACACTGTAACGAATATTACACCACGGTTACCGTTTAGCGAGGAAGCTCTTCAGTTCGCTTGACTTTCCTCTTCCGCGCCTAACAGCGTCTCTCTTTTCTCATTGGTCGACGCGAACAGGCGGTTCTTAATATCATTGGGCGAAGTGTGTGTCAGTCAGCAGTCGCAGAATCTGATTGGTTGATAGCGGTCCACTTAAACGTTGTAAACAAAATTCGAGTAGCTAGGAGATTGAAGTTTTTTTGCTCGGGGGTGATGACTCGGTTTATTTTTTGAAGATAGATGAATTTATAGTTAGGTCTGTAGTCACATTTCATGACTTGATTTCTTACACAGAGTGTGAACTTTGCCCAGAAAAAAACGTTAGTCCTGTCTCTGGTGGTACTTTTGAATGCCTAGTAACATTAGCTAAGTACAACGGTAGTTAGCTAGCTAGCTGTTTGTGTTCAGTGATGCCTGAGCAAAGCGACCAGTTTACGTTAAATTTTGCTTCTTAATTTATCCGCTGGCGTAAGGTTGGTGAACGGAGATAGGCTGAAATATTGATGTTAAGCTCATTAGCTTAAATGTAGAAAAAAACAACGATTGATGTCACATAACTGATCCTTAAACCGACAACTGGGCACAATATGAAAGCTCTTAGTTTCAGAAGGTAACGTTAATACCTGAAATTACGCCGTTTGTGTTTTGAGTCGGGAATGCCATCATGCAATCCAGGTAAGGTAAAAAGCAAAATATTATAATTTTGGGTAATAGTGATGTAAGATATATGATAATGCACATGATGTAGTAAACACAAATCTCTTCTTACAGTGATGCTGTTTTCATGAGACAGAATCCCTTTCCTCCAGAACCTCTCTTGGCTAGAAGCCACTACAGTCCATCTCGAGCAAAGAAGATTTCCATGCAGCAGAAAAAGCTGGTAAGAGAAATGTCTCCTGCCTGCCTGTCTAAGTATATATCTGTGTTGAATAGATCTTATTCCGGCAATATGACAAAAACATAATATCATGACACTTAAAGACATTTTTATGATGCGCTGTATTTATCACAATGTTTTATTTTTCTGGGGTTTAAGAAGTTAGAACAGACAAAATGCATAAGCAGTGTCACATCTCAAAAATACTATAAAAAACTGAGTACAATGATGTTTGTTCATTTCACAATCTGCACTTACTCCAGTTAAAGAGGACTAAGTATGCTCCCTTTAAAATGAAACATGCAGTTGATCCTTATGTACTGATTACATCTAGGAATTGCTTAGAAAAGCAAAATGTGGTGTACTGTGTTGTAATTTGTCACAGTATGATAAAATGTCATATTGCCCATCCCTATATGTGTTTCCATGTTGTATAGTTTTTACTGTTCAGAATAAACTAAATAACTAAAAATCAATATAGTTGTCAGACACCAATACTGATATACTAGTATTGGTAGTTTATCACCCAGCACTTTGATTCTGTCAGAAATCTTGAAATTATAGTATTAAGCTGGTGCCTTGACGCCCATGATAACAAATAATTTCAGATTTCTGACTAAATCATCAAAAATCTGTAACCATGGACGTCAATGTACCAGCTAAATGCTATAATTATACATGTTCATACTCTCTACAGGCCCTGAGCCCTGTCAGGTTTCGTCCGTTTGCCAGTTCTCCAGAGCCCCCTCCTCAAACTACATCTCTCAGCCTGGAGGACCAGCGCTTCCTTGAAGGGTCGCACCGTGTTGTTAACTGTCCTATACCATCTGTAAAAGAGCATCAGGGTTTTTCTGAGTCCTGGCCCTCCACTGGTCTGGCTTCTCGCGCCAGTGCTGGTGCCTCACCCTGCACAGAGCCTCAGCCTCCACAGCATCAATACAGAGCGACCAGTGAAATGCAAGAGCCTTCAGTCCTGGCAAAGTATGAGACATGGGGTGAAGCACTGCATTAAATCTTCAAGAGGTTCCCTAAGATGTGTTGTCAAATGATTTGGATTACAAGCAGCCTATGAAATGTTCTTTGTTAACACTACCTGTGACAGTGATTGAAAAATTAAGGTTCTGGAAAAAAGTGTTTAAGATTTTGTTATGTAGAGGTTCTGTTATTGCTTGTCTCACTATGTCAAGAGGTTTAGGTATCTCTCCCAGATACATTGAACGTTTCCGTTATGGAAGGCCACAAAGCCGTGAGGAAAGACAGAGGTTAGCGACTGGGCAGCCATTTTGGTGGACATCCTCATCCCCACCACAATCATTCAGCTCCACTCCCACCCAGACACCTAAGGAGCGCTTTAGAGGTGCATTATATGTTAACGGCGCTGCTTGGCACAACCAGCCCAAGCATTATACCAAGCTGTTCATGCAATTTTTTCCATTTTGGTTTTCTAATGTTTACCACAGGTGGTGCTTCTGAGCTTGAATTTCTCCCTGTTTCTAAACTTCTTACTGCCTTATACACTACATTGCCAAAAGTATTTGCTCGTCTGGCTTCACACGCATGTGAACTTGAGTGACATCCCATTCTTAATCCATAGGGTTTAATATGATATCGGCCCACCCTTTGCAGCTATAACAGCTTCAACTCTTCTGGGAAGGCTTTCCACAAGGTTTAGGAGTGTGTTTATGGGAATTTTTGACGATTCTTCCAGAAGCACATTTGTGAGGTCAGTCACTGATGTTGGACGAGAAGGCCTGGCTCGCAGTCTCCGCTCTAATTCATCCCAAAGGTGTTCTATGGGGTTGAGGTCAGGACTCTGTGCAGGCCAGTCAAGTTCTTCCACACCAAACTTGCTCATCCATGTCTTTGTGGTCCTTGCTTTGTGCACTGGTGCACAGTCATGTTGGAACACGAAGGGGCCATCCCCAAACTGTTCCCACAAAGTTGGGAGCATGAAATTGTCCAAAAACTCTTGGTCTGCTGAAGCATTAAGAGTTCCTTTCACTGGAACTAAGGGGCCGAGCCCAACTCCAGAAAAACAGCCCCACACCATAATCCCCCTCCACCAAACTTTACACTTGGCACAATGCAGTCAGACAAGTACCGTTCTCCTGACAACCGCCAAACCCAGACTCATCTATTGGATTGCCAGACAGAGAAGCGTGATTCGTCACACCAGAGAACACGTCTCCACTGCTCTAGAGTCCAGTGGCGGCGTGCTTTACACCACTGCATTCGACACTTTGCATTGCGCTTGGTGATGTAAGGCTTGGATGCAGCTGCTCGGCCATGGAAACCCATTCCATGAAGCTCTCTACGCACTGTTCTTGAGCTAATCTGAAGGCCACATGAAGTTTGGAGGTCTGTAGCGATTGACTCTGCCAAACGTTGGCGACCTCTGCGCACTATGCACCTCAGCATCTGCTGACCCTGCTCTGTCATTTTACGTGGCCTACCACTTTGTGGCTGAGTTGCTGTCGTTCCCAATCGCTTCCACTTTGTTATAATACCACTGACAGTTGACTGGAATATTTAGTAGTGAGGAAATTTCACGACTGGACTTGTTGCACAGGTGGCATCCTATCACGGTACCACGCTGGAATTCACTGAGCTCCTGAGAGCGACCCATTCTTTCACAAATGTTTGTAGAAGCAGTCTGCATGCCTAGGTGCTTGGTTTTATACACATGTGGCCATGGAAGTGATTGGAACACCTGAATTCAATGATTTGGGTGAGTGAATACTTTTGGCAATGTAGTGTATGTATGTAGAGGGCAAGGAGACAGAACAAGAGCACCATATCTCCTTTAATCTGCTGAGATTTAATGAAGTAGGAAGTAGACTTCAGCAAGCAGGAGAACAACACGCCTCAGCTCAAATGTCAAATGAAATTAGGAAGAAACTGCAGACCTCTTTACTCAATGTGAAACTCTCAGGATGCATCTTAAACTAGTTTCGCTATTAACTAAGATTGAAAACATCAACTGTTTCCAAGTAATGAGAAGTTTAGAAGCTGTAGTAAAACTCAAGTTTATAACAGTCATTCGCCATGTCATCCAAAAAAAAATGTAGATCTTTCTGCATAGTTCAGATGTTGAGATGCAAACAAATTCATTCAGTCATTGTAGACAAACCGATCAACTGATTTCTGGTGGTGATAGAAACCAGGTGTCTGCAACACAAATATAGGTGTTTTAGTTGCTAGCCAAAATGACCAGTGAATCTACATGTGTACTTTTTTTTATATCTATTTTAATCTAATGTGGTGTAAGAGTAACTCTGGGGGGAAAATGTGTTTTCTTTAGGTACTGTTTTTGCCTTATGCCATTCATGTCCCTCTGTGACCTGAATGTGTTTTTATAAAATGTATTTTAGACCAAAATCTTATCTTAGAACAATTATAGAATATATACTCATGACTATTTCCTGTAATAGCTTTCAAAGGCATTAAATGCTCCAGAGGTCTGGCTCCTCTCACCATGTGTTCTGAAATATTCTGACATAGGAAATTTCTCTAGAAAGATGCATTGCACATCAAACCACTCTGATGGACTTTGTTTACATCTTAAATGTTTAATTATGTAGAATTATTCGAAAATTCTTAAGGGGTAAGGCTCACCCTGGCTGGAGCAGTTCTTTGTGCATATTTAACATATTGTTTGTTTTCTTTTGTATTGATTTGTATTGATTTAACACTAGAAACATTTTTCTTATGATTAGCACTCACCATCCACCAGACCATCCACTGATTATGGTGTTAAAGTAAGTTATCTTTTCACTGATAAGTTCCAGTTGAAGAGAAGTGGGCAGAGAATCAATTATTTCTTAGTAATAAAATATTATACTCTAAAAATGACATAAAACAAACAAACAAAAAAAATCAGGAAACCCTGATTCTTCTGGAGACTATAAACGTTCCATCAAAATCTCACACTGTGACATCCTTCCTGTACAGTACAACTGAAGACAGAAGTGTGCAGGAAAGCTAAAAAAAATAAATAATTCTGTGTGAGTTCTGAGTTGGTTTGCTGTTTTTCTTTACTGTTTTGACAGGACTGTTTGACTGTGGAAATGACTTGGCGGACAGCATACACAGTCCAGCTGAATGGTCTCAGCGCAACACTCTGTCACCCACCAGAGGCCTGCTTGACCTAAGCGTACTTGTAAGGGCTTTACACGTTCTTCCTTTTTGTTACATGAGCTCTTCTCGGATGAGCTTTCATGTTGTGAAACTGCATAGAAGTAAGAAGGTTATCTGTTTCCCTGAAGTAGTATCTTCTGTTTATAGTAGATACCTAGGGCTTTTGATTAGTCACCGTGTAGCGCACATCCTGTGTAGGATGCTTGTAACCAACTTCCCTTTTAAATTCATTTGAGGAAAGCTGCGGTTATAACAAGATTACCATTTGCATCCTCTCCTCACATGCTTCACACTTCAGAATATGGTGGCTGAATGGTGCCTTCTAGTGGCAGTAGACCAAAATGCTTTTTCCTTAAATGTCCTTTGTTTGGAAGATGGCTTCAGTATTCTGTTGTGTTTAAAGAAAGAAGTTCTTCTTGCTTCACCTTGCTTCACTTGCCCCTTGTGGTGTCATTGTTCAGTGTCACACTGTTATGTTTATGAATTCTTCACAGACAGCGCCAAGTTTAGGCTTGCTGTTTAGCATGCCTGTGGGCGTCTTAAGAGAGAATTTGAGGTTTGTGAACTAAGTGTTTGGTGGTTGTCGAATTGGGTGTTTGCTAATCTGGTGTTGATGCAACTTCTTAATCCATTAAATTCTTAGACTTATTATTTAATAATTACATTGGAAACTTGGCGCTGAAATGCAGATTGGCTGAGTTCTGGTTAAAGAACTTTCGAATGTGAGCAAGACTTGCCTATAGTTATGAAACATGTTGTTACCCGTCTTTCCACTGTTGGACATCATGCAAAAGGACCATTCAGCGATGCGTGGTTTATTTGCCATATGTAGCCTAAGCAGTTAAAATTTTTAATCTCCAAAAGTCATAAGTACAGATATGTCAATAGGCAAGCAGTGCACACTAAAATATAAAATATTCATGACAAAATTCAGGCAGCATGCAGTATTCCACACAGACGAATTGCTAAACATTTCCTTGTAGTTGATGTTGTAGGTCTATAAACTTGATTGTTGCTGTTTTTCCTGCTTTCCAGGCCTTGTCTGAGTCCTCCCACTGTGAGCCAGGAGAGCCAGAGATACTGCAGCTCCAGGAGAGAGCCAGCAGGCTTCTGCAGAAGAGGTAAGATACACAGAGCTCTTAACTAAGTAAACACAGCACCTCTTGGAATGAATGGAGGCACTGAAAGAGCAAATTGATAAATCATCAAATAGTTTGTGTCTAATTTCTAAAGCAGAGACATTTTTATTTGTGTAACTGATGTAAAGAATAATATGAAGCAAGGCTACATCAATCAGCAGTTGTTACAGCTGACAAAGTTCTTTACAGGCTCATTTTTGTTTTTGGTTTTTTTGGCGAATATTATCATTTTTACCCTGGATCTTACATTGTGTGAGCTAAATGAACACATGAAACACACTAGCACATTTCGAGTACTTTCTGTTAGCCCAAGTTGCAATATAAAAATAGCACTATGTGCTCTTTAATGGGCCAAACTGGCATTTTAAATTCTGGCTCATATCATTGGGAAAGAAATGAACAGCTAAAACTGCTTGTTTTTAATTTTTAATTTTTTAGTTTTTTTTTGTGACGTCACTAAAACCATGCATTTACATTAAAGGCTTACAGCAGCTTAGCCCTGCCTATTCACACTAAAGTTATAAGCAGTGTTTCAGCCTGCACTGCTTTTTCAATGATGCTCAATGAGAACCGAGCTTGTTTTCTTATTTTCAGTTTTTAAGGCACAATAACAAAAAGCAGCTTGCTTAATTCTTGTAGATTCTATCCTGAAAGATGGCTATTTTTGGTGCTTCACAGACATTGGATTTGTAACATCTCAAATCATACACTGTATGTAGAAGATTTGTCAAGATTTGTCAAGCTCTCAGTACTGGAAGGCATGTGACTAAAAAAAAGCATGATCAGCCCTGCACCCAGAATAGGATCAAAACAATGTGAACATGTCAATGTGGCCTGTGTTAGGAATATTTATATGCAGGAGGTAGGCCCACTAAAAGCACAATGTATTTCACGCTATAACTATGTTGTGATTGGATGAGCTTTTTGTGGTCACAAAAGATAAAGCACACTTGATGGTATAATTGATATTGCCAATAGATCTGGTATGACTGCTAGTACAGTCATAGTCCCTCTATTAAACCTAAAAATTCAGATCTGAACATCTATTTATGTTGCTGGTTGCTGATCATTAGATCTTTGTCAGCATTTTTTAGCGCTTGACCACAGGTACGTTAATATTGTAGTAATTTTCTCATGGAATCTATGGTCTTTTTCAGTGAGAACTCTCTCAGCAGTGGCTCCAGTGGTGTACCTATCAGCTCTGAGGGCCTGGGCTGCTCTGATTTCTCCTCTCCTGTAACTGCTGATGAGCCAGTCCGAACGCCCATAGTGCCCAGCTTAATGGACTCCAACTGTAAGTGGAGGTGCAAGCCTTATTGAATGCATTATTTCTCCCTTTTCTCCTTTGTCAGTGTCCTTCATAGTCTTACAAAATCATAATGGCTGCATAGTGTGACTTGTTCTTTCACAGAGCATATAAACATGCCTGTGTTGCACCACAATTCTGACCCAACTGAATTAAGCAATCCTAAAGAAACACGTAAACGCATAACTTTAAACTCTCGACCTTTTGACATATGCATCTGGGAGCCTCCACCAATTCACTTTTTTGTCTGATCTACTTCCTTCCTGAGCAAGGTAATCAGCATTCAAAGCTAGAATACAATAAAAGTGTTGATTGGCATAAGAGTCCCTGAGGATGGGACGGAAAGCCTCTGTTCTAAATGATAAAGTTTGCTGCAGCTAAAATGTTTACATATTTCTCCACTAGTGCTATCAACACCCAGCGTGTCTGGAGGAGACCTCTTTGCTGCTCCCTCTGCTCACGGCACCAGGGGTTCACGCATTCGCCCTGAGGATGACATCCTGTTTCAGTGGCGCCTGAGGAGGAAGATGGAGCAGGCCAGGCAGTTGCCTGAGACATCCTCCCATAGTACAGCTTTTCATCAGCCCTTATTGAGCAGGCTAGCACTGCAGGTACATCAACACTACAAATTCAGCATAAAATATTTCCCCTCTTATTTTTATATCACTTGTACCAACACATACAGTACCAGTCAGAAGACCAGAGGTGGGTAGAGAAGGCCCAACATTTTGCTAATTCCTAAAGGGAACTTTGGTGAAATACTGACTCAAGTAAAAGTACTTTTACAAGAAGCAATTTACAAGAAGTGCAGAACATCAAGCACCTATCAGCAGAGGAACTGAACTTTGTTGGGCTCTTTTCTTCACTTTTTGATACACTTTTGGTCTAAAATAAACTGATAAACCTCAAAACTATATGCGACTAATCACAAAAGCAATACATTTGCTGTCATCAACATAACAGAATGAAATTAAACACAAAAAGGAAATAATTGCTAAGAGTTAAAATGTACATTAGTGTAACTGAGTAAAAAGCAGATTACTTTCCTCACTTCATACTTAAGTAGAAGTAAAATCATTATCATTAGAACACAGAAAAGAACAAATCCATTAAAATTTGCATATAACTGTGGAAATCTTGCAGAGGTAGGCAGTAACTAGTTAAGACTCATACAATAAAGGTTTTCCTTATTTTTACCTTCTTCTACATTTTAGTATAATAAAGAGAGAATTGAACCAAAAAAGTGACCAAAAAGTATTAAATAAATCTTCTCATGGAAGCAACTCAATGAAGATCCATCTGGGATTTTTTTTTTCAGCATTTAAACGGGCATTCAGGTCTAAATGTCAAATTTAATGTTATTTGTCATGTCATGTAATATTCTGTGGTGTAGCATTGCAGGCCCTATCAGTTTGAAGAATTCATTACTTGTATTGCTTACTTGTTTTCCTCCATTAGTGTTCTCTCACTTCAACATGCAGTATGCAAAGTACTTTCGCAAATACATCACCATTTGGAATCCGTGTGGCACTAAACAAATCCCAGGTTAATAAATACATCTATTTTATAGCATTAGTGTTACAGCACTAACCTCATTTGTTTGTCAGATGTGTTCCTTGTTAAAGAATTAATTTGGTTGGAAAATAGCCATCTAGCGGAAAATAAAATTCTTATCCCTAAGTATTCACTCTGAAGCACTTTTAAAGTCTTTTAAAATTTACTTTCACCTTCGAAATGCATCATCTAAAGGGAGTTTTCCTAGTCTTTAAACTCTGACTTTAGAAACTACTGCAGCACCACTGTAAGAGTGAGAGTAGGCATGTCTACAGCAGATGTGGCGATAGATAAACTTTTCATTTTGGCCAGATTATTACTTTAAGCATAAGCCTTTAGATCAATGTCTTTAAAGCTAGAGCCAGATGTGTCTAAACTTGTCAACTGGTGCTGTAGGTGAGATCCGTTTGGCATTACTGTAATGTTCTAATGTATGCTGTGATGTGTTCTCACTCTAGAAATGCTACAATGTTGTTATCAGTCTTTGCATCTTTTCTGCATCTTCACAGCCCCACCCTGCCTCTACTGATCCTCCTCAAAAAGCAGGCTTTTCTTTCACACCTGTACCTGTAGAGACTGGCCCTGTAAGCACCCCTGCTGCATGTCCAGCTCTTCAGCCAGCACTTCCTGTCTCCAGCGCAACCATCTGTAAACTCCAGCCTGAGACCAGCATCCCAACTCATCATAATTCCATTACCTGCAGCGGCTCAGTTCTGTTTCCCCAGCCTGCCAGAGAAAGAGCCATTCTGGAGCCACAGGCCCCCCATAGCCTTCAGCAAGCTTGTCTGTGTGTACAGGGCAACTACTCAGAGAGCTCAGTGGAGCCCTGCAGTAAACCTCAGACTGCCTCCTCACAGTCACCACAGCCCTCTGAAAACACAGATGGAGAATGGCATGGCCGCCCATATGGAGAGAACATTCTGGCAAAGGCCAAGACCAGGCAAGGGTTGGAAAATGGCATGAAAACAGGAGCAACGTCCAGCCGAAAGAAGAAATCTGACAGGTACGCCTGCTGTTTGAGCTACATTTTCTTTTTTGCACTAATTTGCCAGGGTAGGTACACTGAGAACACTCCTGTTTACAGTCAAGTCCTTAAGATTAAAGCAATTACTCCATGCAATGACTCTAAAAATGTACCTCTCCCTCTAAATATAGTGTGTTTTTGATGTCCAAAGTTTTATTATATCATCATTCATCATTATATTCATCCTCCCTCTGACCACTGCCAATTTACTGTCAAACAAGTTTGTTGCATTAGTTTTGTGCTGGGATTGAGAGGCTAATGTAGCTAATAGTAATAGAAGCTCATAGGTGCAAGTTGCCTAAATCATCACAAACATCAGTTAATTTCAAATAGACGTGTGGTGTCTAACAGTGTTATCTATGAAAATGGACAAAATTACATATAAGTTATAGATAAAAAATTACAGCATGAAGCATGAATTGAAGCATTAAAGCATGCCTTCAGTGTTGCTCCTTCTAATGGTTTTGAATTCGTGGCTTGAGTCATGCATGTGGTGATTTTAGGTCTGCAGTCATCACAACGCAAACTAATGGCAATAAGCTTCCAGTACTTGTTACCTACATTTGCCTTGCAACCCCAGTGCAAAACTAAAGAAGCAATCTTTCTGTGTAGTTTTAATGTCCTTTTACACACATATACTGGGTAACAAGTGGCTTTTCTACTAACTTAGGTGCAAAGCCACCAACGGGTGTCAGAGATCCTCTTAAACACGCAGTACAACGAACTACATAGTTGATAAGATAAGACAAAGGACACTAGCGTACAACAATACACATAAAATAAATATTGTCAGGTCCAACAGGAGTAGTAGTTACTGAGGAGTAGGATTGTACCAAATCAACTTTTAATAGGTATAATTTAGTAATGTAACATGTTTGCCTTTTTACTGGTTATACTGCACAAACTGAGCAGCACAGTTTGTTTCTATAGGTATGTAGGAGGTGAAAAAGGTGTTGAGAGGAAGCAACGCATTGCCAAACCCAGCAGTAGACATGGCAGAGGTCAAGAACGGGTCAGCTGCAAGGCCAAAGAATCCAGCCCAGAGAATAAGTGGCACAGTGGGGGTCAAAGCTCAACAGGAGGCGTTCGGTCAGGAGATCGCGCTCCTCCCCCTTCACCGATACACAACACTCTGGGACAGGTCAGTGTGTTATCTTGTTTCTGAACAGAACATTTGCTGAAAAAATACACAAATTGAACAAGTTCGATTTGTTCAAGTTCAACGTTTCTAGTATGACAACATCGTACTGTAGCCCAGGGTCCTCTAAACAATAAACACATCATCAAATATCAGTTTGAAGCTCCCGAGTGGCGCAACCGTCTAAGCGTTGGCCCTATCATCAGGAGATCGCGAGTTCGATCCCTGGTGAGGCTACAGCCATCCGTAGCCGGGAGTCCGAGAGAGCACAATTGGCCTCGCTCTCTCTGGGTGGGTAGGATGGCCCCTCCCTCTCCCCCCATCACTCAACGCGATGCTAGTCAGCGCAGGCGTCTGTTAGCTGACGTAACAGATCTGGCGGTTGGCGCTTTCCTCCGAGCCCGTTCAGCTGTCCAGTGACGTTGCGTGAGCGGCAGTTCGAAAAGAAGCGGTGGTTGGTTTCACAGGTCTCGGAGGAAGCCTGTGTTAGCCTTCACCCTCCTAGCGTTGATAGCATCGTGTGATTGGGGGAGTCCTAACAAGCGGGTGGAATTGGAAACGACAAAATTGGGGAGATAATTGGGTAAAAATCAAAAAAAAATAAAAAATATCAGTTTGAAACATCAGTCAGATCTAAACATATGTTTTTTCACAATATTTTTAAGCAATTATCGGCTGATACAGATATGATTCTGATATCATTGTGCATGCCTATACGTTTTATTTAACAATACGATTTAGAACACATTTTGTTTTTTTTTCAGTAACATTCAGAAAGGGCTTGGCTGTGTTTTAGGTTGCTTTCAGGCAATAATTACCACAATCTGGGTCTTGCATACTTTTACAGTGTGAAGCTCACTTCAGCATTATGAAGTGAAAGATCTTAACATTTATAAGTGCATTTCTTAATTAGATTTTTTGCTGTCTTTCTTGGCCATTGCTATTACAGGTTGTGTCTGAGGTGCTGTTTCCTGCGACTGATTCACCAACCCAATCTAGAACCCCATGTTCCTCAGATTCTCCAAGATACACCCCCCCTGCCCCTTCACAGTCCCCTGTGCCTGCTCAGCAAAGCATGCCACAGCCATCTGAGGTAATAGGTCAGCTGATGCAAGAAGCACAAGGTAAGAAACTTTTGACAGTGAACTCTTGTCTCTCATTAGTGATGTAATGTGGTCAGTATGTAAGGTCATCAGTGAGCAGAGTTTAGCTCATCTAGCTTCCACCTGTTAAACAGCCTTCTGTGTTCTTTAAACAACAGTTGTTTCGATGTCTTTGTGCTTGCATAGTTGTAATGCCAGTGTATAACAGTTCCAATGCAAGCACAATGTGTAACATAAGCATAAATATTGGATGAGTGAATACAAATACTTCTTAAACTACATTATATATAATAGTCTAATGTAATGGGTTACCTGCTATTACTACAGCTAAATGAATAATAAACAAAAGCATGCATAAAATGTAGCTATAGTACATATATTAAAAGTGCATGAATTTTCAAGTGTTTTATTTAGAATTAAGTATTTATTTGTTAATTAATTTATTTTTTTGGAACATTGCTCCGCAATAGACTCGGATGGGCTGGAATTTGAAGATGACCCCTTACTCTTAGTTCTTCGGCAGCAGAGAACATGGGTGAAGGAGCAACTCTGGTAAGAAAAAAATCTATAATATTCTCTAATCATATGGGCTTAAAGCGCACCAGACATATCTGATTTCCTTATACATTTACAAAACATTCTGACAAGGAACATTTAACTACTCGATTTAGACCTCCTGTGTAAAATGTATTTGTGGTATCTCTCTCTCTCTCTTTTCAGTGAGGTTGACCGGATGTTGGAAGAACTCTGTGAGGACTGACGTTTACTGTGAACTTGAGAAAGGAAAGATGCACTTAAACACACAATCATGTTTATTCATGGAAGTCAATACACAGTGCATTTATTTTGTGAAATACTTATGTGAAGATAATTACAATGTAAATAAACTGCTTTGGAAAAAAAATATATTTAAAGACTTTTTCACAGTGTATCGAACAGATTCGTGCACAGAATGCTAATTCACACCTAACACTTATAAAACAAACAATTATTTAGCAAAATATACAGTCTTGAACTCATCACACGTCAGTTAATAATGTAACTGATGAGTCTGAGAAGTCCATCATCTTTGATATGTGCAAACATTGTCAGTAAACAGAAATGATTTAGTATACTTGGATCATGTTGAAAATTGAGATGGATTAGGATCAGAAGGCTTCATCAGTCCTGAAAGCCTGGCTGCATGAAAATGCTAGAACAAAAAGGATTAATATTGTGTAGTTTGGCTTGCTATCAAGTATGTTTGGAATTGGCACGGGGGGAGTTGGTCTGTTTTACTTCATCCATTTGAGTGTAGGTGAAAGCTTGGGGGGGAAAAATGACAGAAATAGTGGCAGGTTGATTTGTTGGCATGTCTCCCCATTAGTGCCTATTATACCGTGAAGGGAAACATGTATTCAGTATTTAACATGTATTTGTTATTGTTATTTAATATACTTCCAGCGCATGATATCCACAAATAGACACACTTAGTGTCTTTTGACTTCGTAATTATAAATATTAACCATAAAACGTATGCATTCATAAGCAGAAACACATGTTTAAACATATGTTTAAAAAAAATCAGTGCTGAAAAAAAATTGTTGTACAAGACTTTGCTGTTGCTTGTGAAGGTTTCATGCAACAAGTAGCAATCATGGTGAAGATAAGGGAGCTTCCTAAAGTTCTCAAAGACAACATTGTCAAACAACACTTGAATTGGAAAGCAACAGAGCCATAGCAAAGACCGTAAACACCCCCAGATGGGTGCACCACACAAGATTTCACAGTGCTGTCTCTGACTAATGTTAAAGAAGGTCAAATAGAAGAGCAGTCATTAGAAAAGAGTTAACTTGAATTCTGCAGGAACAACAGTTACAAAAAGAACAATAAGTAGTAAACTCCCACACCCCACACAAACTCCTCCTCTCAAAAAGAAGCACAAAGATATGTGAGCATTTACAAATCAGAAATCTTTTGCAACAACATACTCTGGTCAGACAAAAATAGGAATACTTTCTATGCTTGGAGAAAGAAGGTTGCGCATATAATCCCAAGAACAATGTACCTATAGTGAAGTACACAGTGGAGACCATCATGATATTCAACAAGACAATCACCCCAACCATACAGCCAAGACTAGTCAAAAGGTGAAGGTGCCTAGATAATCTCCTTGAATTCTATTGAAAATTTATGGAGGATTATGAAATTGCTTGTCCATCAGAGGGTCCTTTGTGACCTTGAGGAACTGGGGACAGTTTTCAAAGAGGAATGAACTATAACTGAACCGCAATGCTGCCAACAGCAAATCACTTCTTACCACAGGTGTCTCAAAGCTGACTTTGCAACACAGCACTATTGTCATTAATTCAAACTTTTTTTTTTACTATCAATTTCCTTCTTAAATCATGTCTTTGTTTATGCTTACCAATACCTATGTTATCAAAGTCAAAAAACTGTGTGTATAAATTTAAAGTGGGTATATGAACTGGAAGCGTATTACATAACAAAACCCAAAATGTCTGAATAGTTGTTCCCATCAGTGTATGTGTCTGTCTACTCATTATGGTCTAGAGTGTGTGAGTGGTCCAGAGGTTTCGCCTTGTAGCAGGGGTGCAGAAATCATAAGCATTCCTTCCGGTGACATTGCCGACTGCAGGGCCATGATGTCCACTCCATCTGGGATGCGGTAGCGTCGGTTAAACTGCCGGGTCACCAGCCCTGATCCATTCTAGGGCCAAATTATACCACAGAACATTTATACCACGTTTTTCATCTAGGTTTTTAGTCTGAGTATGATGCTTGGCTCTAGGTTTCTATAAATATGATCACAATATGATGACTGGCTTTCTAAAGCATGCTCAGCTGATCATGCATCAACTATACAGAAAATATGAATAGCTGAATCAGACAGCTGTACAAAGACAACACTCAGGGAATCACTGACCTTTTTCTGTTCATGTTTTCCCTCCACCACAACATAATTCCCTGTGACTTTGACCATGAGCTCCTCAGGGCTGAAGTGCTTTACGTCAAGTTGCACTGTAAATCCATTGTGGTCACAAACAACCTGAATACAAAACGTAATGAATTGCTTGGCCGGGTTTACTCTCACACATTATAACATGATAAACTGCTAATGACTTATGTTTTTTTTTTTGAATATATAATAAAAGTTCCAAAAAAGGTTTGGCAAAGAGGAAAGATTGATCAGTGATCAATTGAAAGTTTCTTTAGGGAACTTTAAGTAGTTTTTCTATGACATTGCTCTAGGAAACCTTTTGGCATCTTTATTTTTAAGAGTTTAGGCTCAGTATTAACATTTGGAGGTACCTGGTAACATGCTCACCTGTGCTGCACCGGCATGCTCAGTAACTGGAAGCAGCAGTTCAGCCGGAGTCCATGAGGCAGTTTTTTGGGTCCCGTTTAGGTGAGGCAGCAAGGGGGGCAGTACACGGTCCCAAGGGATCCCGCCAAAGGGCAATGTAGGAGGTAAATCAAAATCCATTCCTCCTCTGCAATCAAATAGCAGGAATGAATAGAGAAGGCAGAGGGTTGTTGCTGCACTGAAAATAACAGGCCAGTAAATCCTACACTGCCTTCTGCAGCCCTTGAGCACAGTGAAGAACTGTGATCGGTCTCTCGGTTGTGTGGTAGTTTATATAGCTTCCTAGCACCACTCCCCCTACCCCCTTGGCAAAAGAATCTGCATGGAGCTAAATGCTGTTTTGGAAATGCCTGGCCTAGGTCCATGACACCTAAGGGCACCAAAGGGCTGTGAGATCAGGCTCAGGTACAGCTTAAACATCTCACTTGTCCACTTTGTCCTTTTATATAAGATCAGCCCATTATATTCCCCAGAACATAACTGTGAACCTGACAACGAAGACCTGGATTTCATCATGGATCAATTACACTCATATATGAGAAATAAGATGCTTGTTTCCTCACAATTCTGAAGGTTTTGCTGGGATGAGCAACCTAATTTATCACTTAAAACTGGCCCATTTGCTAGGAAAATGTATTTACGTCAGTGGTGATAGGCTATGCGCTTTCCAATGTCACAGAGTTGGGGGGGGTTCACGTGGAAAGCCACTAGTACTTTTGCCTTCCTGACTTATGTGTGGTGGGCTATAAATAAGTTCAAAGCACTGGGAACAGAGCGAACAGAGAACACGCTGCATCCCACATGGTGAGGCACGTGTGACAAAAACATGTTCCCACCCTTTTAACCTCTACCATGACATATAATACCTTAGTGCACATTTCCAGGCCTTCGACTTTCCTCTGCTGGTTTCCAGTTATATCATTATGGGAGAGCTGCCATTGCCCACAGTTAAGGGTACCTTCAGCGGCCAATGATTCCACACAGACGCAAAAAACAGATGATCATGTTTCAAATAATATTTTAACTGCTCATAGAAAGGAGTATAAAGAGAGCAATAAAATTACAAAATCTGTCCTTGCAAAGCTTAACCATTTACTTTTGCCACCAACCACTGGTATTTTCTGGTTGATTAGAAAACTTGTATCACAACACTGAATGTGTGTTAGGGATTACTTAGACTGTGAGAAACAGAAAATGCAACCAACGTCTAAGACTGAACTTGGGAGGTGTGGAAAAAAAACCCTGCAGATTTCTTTGAAAAACTGAAAGCAAATCTCCCAGAAAGTGGAAGTTATATTAAAGACATTAAACAGGATGCGCTCTAGATATTAAAACATTTGGTAGTATATTTAGTTGCTGAGGCTTCTATGTATCTTTCTGCTTTTTCCTGAAACTGAAAAATTAAGAACTTGTACTTAACGTTCTGACTGGGAATTAAATAAATGGACTGATTTTTCCCAGTACTGTATCACATCTGTATCTTCACAAACGTGGTCAGTGGTGTTTGGGATTAGAGACACTAGCAGACATTACAGTCAAGGACATTTTGGTTGTAATTCAACAACGGTTTAACTGCCATGCGGCAGAAAAAGGCCTGTCCTCAAGACAAAAGAGGGAACAAGAACAACATAAAGACGGTTGAACAAATCTGTAATATGTTTCAAATCACAAATCATGTTGCGTTCTGATGAAGGAATGAAAACGATTATGCTGACATTATCATATCACAACCTTAGAGCATAGCATACCAAGTTAGAACTGCAGCACAGTGAGGTAAATGTTTTCAAATGAACCCCTTAAACTTTAAGCTGATCCAGTTACTCATCATGACTTTTTTTTCAGTAACTATTAAGAATTATTCATGTTGCTACTATATACGTGTATATACATATATATCGCTGCTGTCGGAACAAAAATGGTATCTCCATTTTTGTCATTTTTCTGTTTTTGATATAATTTGAAAATCCCTGTTGTCCTTTACATAGTGTCAAAATTTCATGATAAATGGACCAAAATAAATGGACTAAAATTAATTGGAAAAAAAATCTGGTTCCATTGACTTACATTAAAACTAAAATTATGTTTTTTCCAAGTTACCATTTTGGAGATACTGGGTTATCTGACAACACCTCATATATATATATATATAGTTATGGGTGAGGAATTGAAGTGTGGGTCCACAGACTTTTAGAATTCAAGGGTGGCAACAAGGTGGCACTGGCTATATTCACAACACCATGAATCATCTTCTCATAATCACTTGCTAGTCATAACTTGGAAAACAGCAATGTCCAAATGCCAGAGTGTAAACCTCATTAGTCACTTTCATTTACTTACAGAAGTACTGATGATGGGAAACATGTTCTGTCTGCCATCACTGTGACTGCAGGCTACTAAAAACAGTACCCACTAAGATCACCGGGGGAGGGGGGGGGCACAGAATTTGCTCGAAAGTGAGATTGAGTTTCAAAACAGGCGCCTGTGAAGGGTTACACATAAGAGAGGGGCTTCATTTCTAGATATTAGGGGGCCTGGTATGCTAGGCAGGTTGTGAGGATTATGAGATTATGGTTGTCTATGTAAATTAGTTGTGTGAGTACAATTGGTGCTTGTCACTCATGTCCTATCGTGTTGCTAAGAGTCAATCGCATTCTTTCATATTTCTGCGTTTTACACAATGATTAAAAAAAAAAAATAGGATACATGTGCATGAATTGTTCTGGTTTTATTTTGTTAAGACATTGTTTACAAGATAAAAACAGAAGATCTACAGATCAGATGAATTTATTCCATTATCATCAATACAAAAAGAAAAAAAAGTGTTTTTAATACAGTATCTAACATTATCTATTCCAGGACAATTTCTCAGCTATTGAACTTTAGTGTGTACAGTGTTTCCCCAGTCTGTGGGGCAAGTTGTTTCATCAGTTTACCATGGTTGAAATTTTCATTTTAATGCAAACCTACTTGGTTACCACCTGTGGGGTTATTAGTTAGTAACAACCCGTATGTATAAGTCAATGGGATAAAAAAGAAAAAAAGAAAAGAGATTTTATCTCCTCATGGCGTCCCGAGTGGAATGGTGAATGAAATATAGTCAGCCACTTCTCCCCACTGTGCTCTGAAATGCTGGAAAATGCTGATCCACGTCGTCAGAACAGCCACCCACAGCAACAGCCCCAGCGCTGACCGCTTCACATCTGTAAGGAGCACAAAGCTTCAAAGGTTGGTTTCTCAGACAGGGATTAAGCCAAGTGCTGGACTAAATTTTTAGATATGAAGCACCTCATGGAAGTGGCTTGTAACTCAGCCACTCACATTTAGAAGGTTTAATTCTCCACAAGGGGAGCCATTAGCAGTAAAACAGCTTTTGATGCTTCACATGAGCAGTGCTTTGCCTCAGAGACACTGTGTGGTTCTTTTCATGGAGAATCTCCAATCGGAATGTTGTGTAATCCAAGATTAGGCTTCACCCCCATCTGGAAACCCACCCCCAAATGTTCCACAAATATGTAGACACTTGACAAACTAATATCTTAACATTATAATGTATGATATGTTAATAATAGCTTAAAAGTTATAAGGTGTTTTCAGTCATGAGGTGTGTTGGTACACAAGCTTAGAATCACTTGTCATACTATTAATCTATGTAATTTTATATAAAAAAAGAACAAATGTAGATTTAAATATCATAAATTGGACAACAAAATGTATTTTAGATGCTTTGTATGGTAGTTCAAGTAGCTAAATAATATAAGTATTTATTTACATTTTTTTTTTAACAAAGTTAAACATTGAAATGTGGAACTAAGATCACAAACTGCACAACACTATAAAAATATTCCTTTTTTATTTATTTCAGACTAAACATATCCAGCAACAACAGTTTTCTACAATGTAAATGTTTTTTTTTTCTTTTTGCAACAACACACTGTTGAATATACAATATGGAACATAAGTATACCAGACAGACACATTATGGCTTAGCTATAACAGCTAGCTCTAATCATTTAAATGTCAATCTCAATGAAACCTAAAGAATGCTGTGATGAATCGTGTGTCATACTTACACGTCTTGATCTGTGGTTGTTCTGTGTAGGCAGGTTTTACAAAGGCTTCTTTGAAGAACCACACAACATTAACCAGCCACAGGAAAGGGAGAAATGCAAAACCACCTGTGGGGGACAAGCAAGAAGAAATCACAAGATATGGCAAACATGTATTCTGTTCTAAACATAACAGCTATTAAAGTTTAATTATATACTGTGTATGTTTTATGGAAGTTTCTTACTGTTGCAAGAATGCTAATGAGTTGTCAATGACACATTGTACGGCATTACAAAAGTTTTCATACCGCACCTGAACACCGCACTGAAATTTTGTTTAAGTATACAAGTGGAGATGAACTCCAGATGTCACTTGAGTTTTAGACCCCAAGTTTTAGTTTCAGCAGTTTCAGAGTACAGATTCAGTATGCACAGATCAGCTTTGTACTTTCAACAGAAAGAAATAGGCTAATTAAATGACCAGTCTGAGTGTATTATAGTTATGACAAAATGAAAAATGGGAACATTTATGTTTTTTTTTTTTTAAAACTTTGAATTTAGCCATAAAAATAAAATAGTTTAAAAAGAAATACCCAGATAATATTTCCTGCACAGACTTAGCTTCTCCTCATTGGGAATACGCTCCAAATTCATGATTTCCTGGAAAATATTAAAAAGCAGTATTATTTAGCAGCATACGACAGGCTACATTTTTGCAGTAGCAACATGAATACAACTCTGCTGCCACCTGTCTGCGAATGGCAATACTACCAAAATACACCAGCAACTGTTAGTGACCAACAGATTAGACATAATATGGCTTATTTCAGTAGTTTCTAGTTAGTCACCATGTTCGTTCACTCCCTTCATTCTGAAAATCAAAACTACAGAGACAGTTCAAAAGAACGTGCTGTAGAAACTGAACCAAAACTGCAACTGACAAAGATTCAACATGTTTACTTCATTTTTGTACAGGACGAGGTGAAACGTATTCTTATTGAAATGACCAGGTTTTTCATCAAAACACTTCAACAAACTGTTGAAACTGGCTGCTGGACCTGGCGAGCTGCTCTTTGTATTCCAGCGAGCTAACCTAACGGTGGCTAGCGTGCCTTGATAACAACAGCCAGTCGTTTTCTAAATATTTTCTTTGTCTCCTGAAATATTAAACTACAGAGTTCGGTAAACAAAAATAAATACCTTTTATGTCGAT